GGAAAACAGCTATATTTAGTATTTATTCATCCACATTGAAAAAGCTGAATAAAACAACAGTGATAGGACCACTGCGCAGACAATGGAAAGGGAGCCATGGAAAAGCAAACTAAAACCTGCAGAACAACTCTCTGCCTTGAATTACAGCTTTTGGACAATTCCTTGGGCTACCCTTCATCTGAACAATTGGCCATGGAAAATTATAGCATGTGCCTGAAAAATACATTTTTTGGTTGCTAGGTTTCTCTCTTCCCTTTCAAAAAAATGAGATTGATAGTGATTCAGCTATTTCAGTGTCCTGATTAAAAAAGAAGTGGGAACACAATGGCAGTGTTGTCTACTACATTTCTAGTTCACGGAGAATAACAGCACCTAAGAATCTGATGTGTTTCTTGAGTATTTTGGTATGGAGAGTTTTACATGAACTCCCTTGGCTGAGGGACAGCCCCCTGGACATAGGATGAGGAGCCTAGGACTCCAGAACAAAGTGAGGAGCCAACCAAGGGGTAGCTGCATAGGTGGAGAATTAGGGGGAGAAAAGCTTGAGATGAAATGTGAAAAGAGAGGGATTTGCGTAAGATACCGTATAAAGTATATAACCTTCGAGAAATGGCGTCAGGTATGATTATGAATTACTGGTGCGAAAGGGACTTGGTGGTCATCATCCCTCATGCCCCCCAGTTAAAAACTTCTATTTAATAATTTTAACATGATTTCTTTATAACCTTCCAAGTAGAGTAACAAATAATTGTATGGGAAACATGTGTACAGGATATACTGGACATCTTTTATTTGATTGTGATATTAATCAAATATGGAAAATAAATCATATTTAAAGAAACCTAACTAGCTGCATTTTCACCTGGGCTGACATGGCTAGAAAATGTTAGCATTTAAAGAAAATCAAATTTAACACTTAAACATTAAACATGTTTAAATGAAATTTTAATCTACTAAAAAAACATTACCCTTTTTGCAGGCAATGAGAAAACATGGATTATTTAAAAGGATGATACAGTGATGTTAGATTGGTACTACTACAATTAGATCAAATCAAATACAGTATACTGTTATATTATTGTGACATATAAGTATTATTTACTGTATTACTTTTGTACTTTAGAGAGATTCAGTGTTAATTTGTGTTAAAAAGAATAAGTCTGGGAAACGACATGATGTGACAGTTGCTTATGTTTAGTAATATGAAGAAAACTTCTGTTTGCTCAAGTCTCTTTTCAATTTTTAAAAATGATGGTCCACATTAATGACTTTAAGACGGATGTCGGAAGTGAAAGCAAATTATTCTGAACACTAATGTGAAAATGGTGTGAAGACCAATTTAGCCTCAATTGTGAATGCCCAAGTCCACACACCATGTTGCACTTAATTTTAAAGGCAAACTGTAAACTTTATTGGAGATTATACTAGACATAGAATATTTAAAATAGATTCACTTATTTAAAAATCCTTTATTCTTATGATTAACAGATTCTTGTCACATGTGTTTTATAGGAACCCCACTGCTTAAATTAAAAAAGCAGGAAAAAAATCCCACAAAAGGAACATACCAATCTTTATATCCTATTTGCTCTTTACTATTAAACATTTCCTGATGCTGAATTTCAAAACTGAGGTTTCGTTTATTAGAAAAATAGAACTGTGAATACTGTAAAATACTACAAAGTTATACAGTGTAGAGATATTGCGGAAATTAATCGAGCCATTTTATTGGAAGAAAGCTTTTACTAGATTTAAGTGACCCAGTCTATGAAATACAAATTAGATAATTACAGTACTGTAGATCCTAAGAAAGAAAAACAGATTAAAAAAAATATAATAAAAGTAAATATTATAAATGGAGTCAATTTGAGTTCTAACCATATAAAAAATATTAAACAATATTGAAGTCTAAGAGCATTGACACTAAGGGATCATTTTAATACAACTTGTTTTTCATTTAAATGCATAAAATGTCTCTTAAGAAGAAATCACAAGAAACAACATGGAAAACTCGATGTTACTATGTGCAATGTGAATTAAGTGGAATGTTATGGGATAATGGGGAGAATGCCAACTGCACTTGAGTATATTGTAATTACAGAGCTTTTAAAATTATTACAAGTTTAAATTCTGTTTTTTCCAACTGGTGCAGGCATTTATAATGTGAAATACTTTATTTCTACTTAATACCATTTTATAAAATCATTCCTGTTATTCTGTGGTTATGCATAATGTAACAAACAACAAACAAGTAACAAACTGTAGTTGTTTTGCATGAATTTTCGACAACGTTCTGTCAAGCTTGCATTCAGAATACAACACAGCAAAAATACAAAAGCAAGGCTGTAATTTTTCAGGCATTCAATTGAGTTGTTTGGAAAATAACCACTGTTTTACTACTCAAGATCTTTTTATAATGTATATAATGATTTGATGACTAAATATATTGATATGTATCAATCAAAATGTAAGTGTAGGTTAATTTAGCTGAAGGAGCACCAAACAAGTTAAAGATATGTTAAAACTAAATGTTTAGTGTGTAATATATGAGGACAAATGATCTGCTTTTGAAAAGCTGAAAAACTGAATCATAAAACAGATACTGCATTTTACAGTGTAAATCTTTCAGGACAATATGCTTGGCATGAAAAGACTGCCATCTACTGAACTAGGGAAGATAGCACGTATTGCATTTATTTCCACTCCCAAAAATGTGATACCTATAATATCAAATTTTCACTCTACATTTTCCAACAGCAATTTGGGACAACTGAAACTCAATATCCGCTCAGAATTAATTTAAAATCTGTAACTACTCTGTTGTATTTATTATAACATAGCTTCACAAAGCCAAATCAGTGTATCTTATTTTCAACTTCTAAAGAATACTTTATATTCGACTAGTAAAGAATACTTTTTCTCACATTTTTTGTATTCACTGAAATTATTATACTCAAACAAAAGTTTAAACATTCACTTCTGTTCCTGGTTTTCTTTATACAGAACTTCATATTAATAACCTACTTCTTCTGCAGCACATTATAATCTCTCTCTTATGCTCCTCTTTTATCTGTACTGTATAACCTTGTTAACACACAAAACTGCCACACATCCCAAATGTTCATTTTCATTCAACCGTTTTTTAGTGTGAATTTAAATTTCTCCAATTCTTTGTTCCATCACTTTCCCTTCTGAAGAAATTAAAATTGGTTCTTACAGATGTTTTTTGGCAAATAAGGTATTGCCTCTTGGCTGTTCTGACAGAGATCGTCTTTAGCTTCTCAACCAAATAATGCCTTGATTTTTGTTCCATTATTATTGTTTTTGATAAAGCCTTAACAAGATGCTTATACAGAGGTTACATTTTTTGCAACCCTCAAAGTCTACCTGCTTGCACACCTGACATGGGACATATTGTATCTTCAAATGTAAAACTTGAGTAAAGCTCTTCCCATACTTTTCAATAGATCTTCAATGGATCAATGAGTGGAATATTAGATAATAATCAATGTATGTATAATCACAAATTTTATTACAATCACAAAGACCTAAAATAAACACATCATCATCTTTATAAATTTAAAACAATTCTGTGACACTACAAACTTCAGAAAGCTGATGCAAAAGTACTTCTTACTTCAGTATCAACAAAAAAGGTACTGTATTGTTAATTACAGTACAGTAAAAGCAATGAAAGTTTCTAAACTTTTTATGTGACTCAAATCCCAAATAAAATGTTTTAGGAAAGGGTGGCAAAGTGATGCAGTGGATAGCATTGCTGCCTTGCAGCACAGGGGCCTGGGTTCACTTCCCAGAGTTCTGTCTGTGTGGAGTCTGTGTGTTCTTCCCATGTTCACAAGGGCCTCCTCCAGGTGCTCTATTTTCCTCCCACAGTCCTAGGATGTAGGTAGGTTAATTGGGCTCTTGGAAAATAGTCACTGTCCTGTGTGTGCCCTGCGATGGGCTGGCACCCCATCCAGAGTGTATCATGCCTTCTGCTAACTGCATGCTGGGTAAGGCTCTGGCTCGCCTGCAACCCTGGAGTGGATAAAGAGGTTAGAAAATGGATGGATGTTTTAGATAAAACTGAGACATTATGTGTGATGCATTGCTTCAGGATTTACAAATCCTTACTAAGCAGATTTTGCTTTGCCTGCAATAAGCTGAACTAGACAATAAGACATTTTATCTAACACACAGTTTTCTGTGATTAAGATTATGTACTTGGAGAACTACCTATGCCCTTTCGGCACATAAGCCACAAAACGTGACTTCTTGTGTACTATGTATTTTCCCAGTGCTTCACAAGGTCTTCAGTTGCATGGTTTTTCAGATTTCCCAGGCTTCGCTTTTTCCACTGTATGTGGTTTTCTCCGTGATGTGGTTTCAAGCTGAGTTCATGTGTCACACAAATCAGATCTACACATTTTAGAATATTTGCTTTCTTAAAAAAGAAAAAGGTCTTATTCATGGTTTGATCGTGTATTAAGTTTCAGAAAAAAGATTTAGATGTCATTATTACCTAAAAGGAATCCTAAACAAGTATGAAAGACCTATTTATAGCAGTTAATAAAAGCACATCTCAATAGAAACAGGCTTAAGCCTTCTACAGAGGGGTTGGGGGCTATTTCTCTGTCAACAGTCAATTGAGCTTTGCTGGTATTTTTCCACATATAATGTTTATCAGATGTGTACTGTATGTAATATCAATGAGACTTAACTTTTAAGAGTTACACTTTGAATTCCCTTGTTGTGACATTAAAGCTTAGCACTGGATAACAGAACTGCCAGTTGAAGGGAATTTATACAAAGCCCCATTCTTAAACAAGTTTGGCACCTGAAAGAAATCACATTCTGCACTCCCGTTTCCAAAGAAAACCAAGGATTTCTCCATAGTAGTTACTAACTAAAATGAGTTGATAAAAAACTAACAATTCGTGGGGAAAAAGAGCAAATGAATCAGGTTAAAATCAGGTAGTTTATCATCACAGAAAAACAACTACGATTTTAAAATTTTATTGTCTTGATGGACAACGCAAAGTCAAGTACATTGCAGTAAGATTTGTTTGAAAAGGCAGTGGTGAGCAAGACACAAAAGTTGCACGCAGACATGTTAATATATGTCACCAGAAAATACAGTATGGTAAAAACTGGATAATAACAGCATTGTTACAGTATTTCACACAAGGAAGCGGCTAACTTGAAGCCAACTGAAAGAACCTTTATATGCAGGAACAGTCATTTTCCAAATATGTAAGGCTGCCTGGCCGAGATAAAAACATGATGCTACTTTTAGCAAAGTAAAATCACATTTGGCAGAATGGCCTCGTGAACAAAAACAACACAAAGCATACAGTATGAAAGAGGAGACCTTCTCCAAAGCAGCATTCCCATGAGGCTTGCAGGATACAATACCCACAACAAACACACAGTTAACTGGTCTTCAGCAGTTCTCATGGAGTAAGAAGAGCTTGACCATGTCAGGCACAGGCAGTTCTGGGATGTGAGTGAGCCGGTGTTTGCCAAGTGCTCTTCGAATGGCAATGCGACACAGGTAGGTTAGCATTCTGGGAGTTCCTATGAAGGCAACATTGGAAACCATGATAATCCAGATACTGTGTTTGCATGAGACATGACTGTCTTCTGCCACTGTAACTAAATTCCATCTCATATAAATGAGTTGTTAGATTAGTTTTATTTCCATTCATAAACCACCAAAGTCATTTTATGTACAGTATATATTCCTGCAAATATGCCAATGACCAGGTGCATTCACAAAACGTATTTTACAAACTAATGAAACTACAAGCCTCAAGTCTTCTTGACAAGAATAATTCAAATGGGAAAAACACTTGAATTATTTTTTAACCAAAACAGGGAAACAGTTGTTTCAAAAAGAGTTTAAAGATTTTATAAACAAACAAAAGATTACAAACAATAATTATTGAAGAAATAATTATTTTGTAGGCCATTGATGTATTTTGAGTTTTAATGCTCAATTAACATCCTTCTTTTATGCATTGTAAGCTAATATCTTAAACCAGGAGGATTTTAGACAACGTTTTAAAGTAAAATATGAAAATGTTCATTCCAAAAGAAAAAAAACTTTTTAGCAGTTGCCTTAATCTTGTACTCATAAATCTGACATTACATGCATTTCATCTTGAAGGTTTGTGAACCTTCTGGAAATCTTTACAAAACTAAGAAAGGGTAGAGAGGTTTGTCACTGCACAAACCACAATCCTGTGAATACAAGAGACAACCCATTGAAAATAAAACAACCCAATCTGTAAAAGCGTAATAAAACAGCAGACACAGAAAAAGATAAGGCAGTAATTGGAAAAAATTCTAAAACCTGCAGAACAACTCTCTGCCTTGAATTGCAGCTTTTGGACAATTCATTGGCCTACACTTCATCCAAAGAATTGGCCATGGAAAACTATATTTTTGGTTATATTTTCTATTCCCTTTTAAAAATAAGATTGAGTGCTATTTATCTCTCTCAGTGTCCTTAATAAAAAAGAAACGTGTAGCAGTGCTGTCTGCTACGTTTCATAGTTAATGGGAATAACAACACCTAAGAATTAGATGTGTTTGAGGCTTTTTCTATAGGGACTGCATTTGATAAAAGACGCAATACAAATATCCATTCTTATTTGGCACCCAAATAGCACATCAGCATTCTCCATTCTCTATTTTGAGAAATTCTCAATTCTCAAAAATGTCTCAAACTGTAAAGGCACTTGTTCAAAGTTTAGGTTGAGCCTTATCGCACAGATATCACTGGCTTGACTGTGGGCTATTTCAATAATCACTTGTGAGCTTGGTTCCCTGAACAGTGATTCAGAATTGGCTAAGAATGGTTGGGATTGTGCAGGTTTGATTTAAGCACTGTATCCTTGCTTTGACAGGAAACAACACCCTGAAAACAAGCAGGTAGGTGGTTGGACAGTGCACAAGAGTTAAAGGTGTGTATGTTGTTTTCAACTCACTTCACAACTCTTCTGAGACCTTTCATGTTTTTGTTTGTCTTATTGTTACAAATACATAATTACCATATTCTGACAAGTGAATGGGCCCAAGGAGGTGTTAATCCACACACAAACACTGACACACGGTAGATTTAAGGCCCTCTTACTACAGTATTCTTTCATGTACAGCAGGTACAGTACAGTACATGGTTTTTCATGTTGTAGAGACAGAGAAAAAAACTACCTTACAGAACACAATAAGCTTTGTCCCACAAATGTGCTTTGTTAAATGACTTATAAAACTAATAAGCATTATATTGTAATTATGTATTCATTTATTCATTGTTAAAATACAAGTTATCGTAGTAATTTATCTACAAAATATTTTTTTTTCTAGGCAGTATTTGACAGCATTTTTATGAAATAATGGAAGTAACTGGGAGAAGACATTCAGCTTTCTAGACCTGATCACTCAATTGCTTCTCAGATGTCCCATACATACACAGTATGAGCCTTCGCACAGCTCATTAATACTTTCTGCTTTCTAGGCAAAACAATTAACAGACCATTCTATGACAATTAGCAACACAAATACAATGATCAGTATTAAACAAAATCAAGCGGTAGGTATTTTTCCTTGGGCATTATTTTTGTGCATCATTTAAAATGAGTAAAGTGAGATAAGCCGACCTTAAACTATGCTGGGGAATGGACAATAGCTCAAATGTGGGCTCTCAGTAGAGTGCAGTACACACCTTCTTCTTTATCTGCAGTTTTGCATATAGGTGGTGTCAGGCCAGGCCTGCTGTGTGAGACATTCATGAAGTTTCTAAAACGTTCTCAGAGACCCAAAGCTTCTCAGCGAATAAATTCCAAATTCACAAGCGCATTTACTGTATTTTCATAGGACACATCTGTCTCCCAATTCATCAAAACTTCCTTAAGATTAATGAACTCCAAAACTGTAAATGTACTGTGCGTTCTTTATGTTCATTTTAATGAATTCCGTTTTATGATAGAGAACTGTGCACTACTGTGTTTGCCTTCCGTCATGTTATTACAGTATGTTATTTAGCACATTTGTGTTAATTTCTCCAATATAAGCATTTTTAATATTCGTGTACAGTCCAGGAATGAGTACAGTTCCCTTTAATAATAATATTAATAATAATAAGCTTTATATAGCAACTTCAAAAGCAACTTCTCAAACCATTTTGCAGGAAAGTAAAAATAAGTTAAAACTGAAAATAGCAACAAAGACAGGAAATTAAATTAGCACACAGAAACAGAAGGGTTTCTAATGTAATGGAAGCTGTAAATGGGCAGACAGACTCTGAGGTATAGCAAAAGAAAGGCCCTGTCACCCACAGAATGTAGACAAGCTTGGGGGACAGACAGGAGACCAGAGTCAGATGAACGGCTTTGAGGTTTAGGAGTAGGAGGATAATAATCAGGAAGGTACTGAGGTGCCAAGCCAAGTGGAGACTTTTAGATAAGCATATTTATTTTGAAGTTTACACTAACCCTGATAGGAAGTCAATGCAAAGACTTCAGGACAGGAGTGATGTGTTTACTTGCATTTATTTGTTCCTTTTACTATAGCTTGTGGAATCAGAATTATTATTTCGACTGAAAACACAGCACTTCATGATCATTATTTTAACAGGCTGCCTGTTGAGGATTCTGGTAGCTGAATTCGGGACATACAGAAATGTGCTCAGTGTGGATTTAGATATAGTGGTGAGTATGGCATTGCAGTCATCAATTGTAAAGAAGACAAATGTGTTGAGCAGCTTCTCAGCGACAGTCAGACAACATAGAATGTACCATAGTCTGCAGATATTTCTGAGATGGAAGAATTATGTTTTTACAATGTTTTGAACATGTGGGTCAAATATTAGGCATGGATCAAAAATCAATTAATTTGTATTTTAATTCAAGTATGGATTATGGATATACTGTATTTAGTATGGATGTAGATTTGAGTATCATCAACACGGAAATGATCATTCAGACCATGTGATCTGCTGACCACGTGGGAAAACATAAAGGCTGAATAGTAGGCGGCCAAGTGTCAAGCCCTAAGGAACACCAGAGTTAACGAGCCCAGCCCCCAAGAGAGACAAAGTGTTGGCATAAAACTCCTCAGTCTCAAGACAAGAAAGTAAGATGTCATGGTAAACAGTGTCAAAAGCAGCACTGAGGTCTAGGCAAATAAGGATGGATTGAGAACTGGAATTAGAAGCCAAAAGAAGATCATTAGTGACATTAACCAGGGCAGTTTCTGTGCTGTGAAATTACCTTAAACCAGATTGTCAGGGTTCGAAGATGTTAAACTCATAATGCATTTGAAATCACTCAATGAAATACTTACTTTTTGCCTCCTTAAAGAGCTTTAAGGCCTCTGGGTTGACTCGAATTCTGCCCATGGTCTCTGGGTCTGGGTCCTCCCATGGAACCAAGTTCAGGTCAGCTCCATGGTCTATCATCAACCTGACGAAAGCAGGATCACAGCCATGACGCAGCACAGCATCCATAACACAGGAGGCCAGGCCACGACACAAAGAATTTCGGCTCACAGGACCCATGTAATTGTAGTCCGGGTTTGCTCCAGCCTTTAGCAGCACGCGGAAGCAGTTGAGATGGTGGTAGGCAGCACTAATGTAGAGGGGGCACACCACAAGGGTGGACAGCCGCCTGGCACTGAATAGTGGATGCCTAGGCCCCAGCTGCTGGTCCACATCCACATCAGCATTGTACCTAGAAAACAGTGACAGAGCTGCACAGTGCACTCACTGCATGTCATTGATCATGGGACAAGAGACAAGCCCTTTGCCATGGGCCTGCATTAGCATAAGTACAGTACATACTGTACGGTACTGCTTCCTGACAGTAAAACTGAACAGAAGTCAAAATCTGAGCACCACAACTTTCAGATATTAAATCTATTAGCTCCATAACATTATCTGGAAGGAAAATGTATTTATCTGTAACATTATCTGTATACAAACAACCCTATTATGTATTTTCTGTGACACGTCTGCTGGTTTTATTTTATTCATAAATTACATCCAAAATTTTGAGTGAGGGCTTATAATGAAGAGTCACAGTCAGAGAAATAAGCTTGTTGTAGGGCAGGAGAGTGAAATGAAGACTAACACCTACATCACAGATTAGGTTTAAACATTTGTTTTCTGTATACTAAATTACTTAATCTGTGCACAAAACTGGTTAATTCTTCATCACAGTATGGCTATGTCAAACTGATTCTTTTTTCACCCGAATTACCACACTAAAGGAGATAAAAAAACATTTTTTCATGTCTCATAACATGGACGTATTGTATTGAGTTTTTCTGAACAGACTAGTTAATATTTGATCTTAGATTTTGATCTAAATATCCATACATAATCATACAGGTATGTACTGCTCCTCTGTGTTGTATATTTAATCTCAAGGAGCTGAAGTCTACATTATGTAGGTAAAATTAATCAACATATCGGTAGCTGTATTAATGACTTAATTAATCTTAATTAATCTACACAGCTATAATGACTCAAATGACCTGCGTTTCACCTCCTATATTTTGAAATATTGACAGAATCCCTCCCTTCTGTAGAGGAGACATTCGGAAACATTTTACTACAAGGGGAATATAAATGTATATATTGAGAACTTTTTAACCTCTACGATCGAGAGATATAGAGTTAATTTGTTCTTTTTACTATACTTGTGGGTTCAGAATTATTATTTTGATGGAAAATACTTCATGATTGTAATTTTAACTTTTCTCATTCACCTCATTCATGTGTAGTCTATGATAATGTGTAGCACTGATGATAATCACAAGCCATGTTCCCATTAGCACTTGATCACTTTTCTTTGTCAGCTTTTTCTGCCAGATCTACAGTTCCCACAGTGTGGGTTTGCTAGCGGGACATAAACATGAGCGTGGAGAGAAAGCCCCCTTACCGGATGAGCTCTTGCAGAATGTCTACCCTCCCCACTCTGGCAGCATGATACACAGGCGTGCTCCGGTGGTGCCGGCTCCCATTGGGATCAGCACCAGCCTCCAGCAGGATTTTCACACAGTTCAGGTGCCCGTTGACCACAGCCACATAGAGCGCCGTCTGCCCCTTCACGTCTACAAGATCCACCTCTGCCCCTTGCTTGATGAGATAGCTGACACAGTCCCCGTGACCAGCAGTGGCAGCAATGCGCAGGGGAGTGCAGGGCAGCCAACCACAGCACCACACAGACTTCTCATTGATCCGTCTAAATGGAGAAGGAAAGGACCGACAGTACTCAGGGTTGTCATAACGGTAGCACGCAAGGAACTGTATTTAATCGAGAAATTAAGAAAGACAACAAAGACAACACAGACAACAAAGAAAAACACCAATCCACATCAAGTGCTGTTTGCTATGGAAGAGGAGCCCTTTCCATTGGCTCTCTGACCGTTTGAAGTTCTCCTCTTGCAGAAGGCTCTTGATAGTCTCCAGGTCACCTACATATGCAGCATCGTGTAGGCGCATGTCCTCACACTGCTCCAGCGGCTTGTCGCAGAACTGCTCCTGAAGCCATTCCTTCAGATTCCGGCCTGCAAAGACAACGAAACATAATGTAAGTTACTCCAATGGGAGAACATATCAGCTCTTTATTTCCTGTATACCTATATCCTTGAGTTATCTACCCTGGAACCACTGGCATGTTCTTTGCCAGTTACGATCCTTGCCTCATCAAGGATACAAGTTAGTTTTCTCACTTATCCCAATGAAAGTAAGAAATAGAACCGCTGTATGGGATGGATCCGTGAAGTTGCCTCCCTGTAAACAACACAAAGTGCGAAGTATATATTATTTCTCTGTTATATGATTCACCGTTTCTGAAAATGACAAAAACATAAAACAAGAATTTTACCAAAATAACTTATGGATTATTGGCAGGTTGACTTAGTCTGTCTTTTTGAGAACTTTCATCATAATAGCCACAAAATATTTAATTTTTGCTCTGAATCATCTTGATACAGAGATGGGGTTTAGTGCACTTTCCTTAGTTAATGGATCAGGATGTCATATCATGTCATTTGCCAAACCACTTTATACACTACAGTGTTGCAGGAAGCCTGGGCCTACCCGGCAAGCAACGAGCGCAAGGCAGGGTAAACCCTGGACGGGGTGTCCCCATTGCAAGGCAAGTGCAAGCCAATCATACATGGGGACAATTTGGAGGCCAAGGTAAAGGCCGAGGGGGGAAATTTGGCCTGGACACCGGGATAACTCCCTACTCTTTTCGAGAAATGCCCGGAGATCTTTAATGACCACTGAGAGTCAGGACCTCGGTTTAACGTCTCATCTGAAAGACGGTGCCCACTACAGTATAGTGTCCCCGCCACTATACTGGCGCATTAGGACCCACACAGACCACAGGATGGGCGCCCCCTGCTGGTCACAATAACACCACTTCCAGCAGCAAGAAAATCTTCCCAGGAGGTCCCCCCATCCAGGTACTGACCAGGCTCAAACCTGCTTAGCTTTAGTGGGAAGCCAGTTGAGAGCTGCAGGGTGATATGGCTCCCCACTGTTGGACCAGGATGTGTTTCAGAGAAAGGAGCACTTGTGGGAATCAGCACTAATAAAAACATTTAAAGCACGGTTTAATGGGGATGTGTTCCCAGAAGCACAGTATGAGAGCTTCATTGACATATCAGTAATGGTGATACTGACATTCATACCACAGAATATAAAGCAAAATGCATATTAGACAGAAAGGTGTTTATTTTAAGATTATAGTTACAGAAGAAATACATTAAATGTGGCTACACACCAATACATTCTGTGAGGGCTTGCATAGCTTAATCACTGTCTGCCTTCACTCCTCCAATGTGGCCTTTGTAGGAGAAGCTACTTCTGCCAGAATGGACCAAGATGTGAGTCATCCTGGGGAGCTTGAATTTTTTTTCGATGAAGGCATCTAGGGTACTGTATGAGTACTTCTGCTGCTACTGAAGCATCTCCTGATAGCAAACGAAGTCAGCAAAACCCATTCCATTTTATTACACTGCTGTGTTCAAACACAGGATCATTCCCTGAGAACTGTCCAGTGCCTCTGTTACTGTAGCATTGTTTATAGACAATTGTTTATAGTCAGAACCGGCTGGAGAACTTTCAGCTTGTTTCATCTTCCTTCTCTTCTGCTGCATAGTGCCGTCTGATATCCAATTGTTCATCAGTATGTGCCTCTCCACTGGACTGCATCAGTTCCACTACATCATCTTCGCCCTCATCCTCCAGGCATTTCAGATTTGCCAATGTCACGTCGAAGTCATGTCACGACATCATCATCAAAGTCATGGAAATCATGACACACCTCAGGCAAGACCTTATTCTAAACTCCACTGATGCAGCTGCTGGTGACATTCCAATGTTCTTGATGGCCTTCTTGATGTTGAATGTCTTCCAAAAGTCACAGATGGATTTCCCTTCTCCCTCAATCTTCTCCATGAACTGCATGAAGATCTGCCTCAGTAAGCAGACCCTGAAGATGGCTAAGAAACCCTGCTCCATCTACTGTAGAAGGGAGGTGGTGCTACTGTAGGTGGAAGGAAGACTACTTTCACTCATACTGCAGGGCAAAGGCTATATACGTTTTCTGGGAGTTATCCACCAATGGCACAGCTTGGGTTCCAAGCCCTTTTCCTCACAGTGATGCTTGACTGCAGAACAAAAATTAACATTACCAACAACACTAACTTACATTGTTGAAAGATACCAACAATAACCCATTCCTTCTTACTTATGCTTTCCACAAAACAGAGAAATGCTACTTGCTGTAGAACAGAGTGCTGATATCACAGGGTATGTCACAGTGATCGGCTTTGGTCTAACATCTGGTGAAGCTTGTCATTTGTTTCCAAAAATTGCAGTGTCATCCACATTCAAAACACAGAAGGCTAGTTGTCGCTTTCTTTGATTGCCTTAGAGAGACATAGTAAAAATGACTTGTAGCTTCAAAATTAGAAACATTTAAAATTATTTCAGAATCCTTTTCATAATATGTGATACTGGTGACTAAAGTAGGAACATTATCTTCACAATTGTTATGATTGTGGATACAGCCTTAGCTATGGTCAGTATCAGTCTGGTGCTTACCGATGTTTAGACACCTTAACACTTCCTTTTTCTTGTCTAGGAAAATACTGTTGTATGTGAATAATGGACAATTATGGGTAAATGTCCATTATGGGTGATTAAATTATGGCCAGGACAAAGTGCACTATGGTAAATTATTGTTAATAAAAGCAGCGCTAAAGTATGTGTTTGTGAAACCTCTATTCCCGAATTTGTGATTCTTTTTTTCAATGATTCACTCTGTATTATGAAATAATTTTCGCTTGTATATTTTATTTTTATTATAATTATTGTCATTTATTATCATCACTGCAATCTACTATACAATAAAACCTCTGTATTTGCAAGGATACGGTACTGTACCTTGAAATTTCCAGGAGTATTGATTCACAAATGCAGGACTTAATACTTCATGGGGAAGATAGGATAGGGTTCTGCCTGCTTGTGAAACAAATGTTTCCACTGTAATTTGTTTTGCTATTAAAGTTCACTTAATTGGAAAACTCTCAGTATTTATTGCTGGTAAATATTCTTCATGAAAAAGAGTACAGTAAACTTAAAACAAAACAGTGTTTTCTCCCTATAACTCAAGTGATTTCATGTGCAACAAATAGATTATTGTTAAGGTATCATATCATACCCTCTACTAGAGTTCCCTTTTCATTTTTAGTACAATCTATTACTTTAGTACTTTTTAAAGTATTTTATTACATATTATTATTATTGCAGCACTACTATACTGTAATAAGTTTTATTATACAAAGTAAAAACAAAAAAGTATATACATTAGTATATACCACTGTACTTACCATAAAATGGAGATGTCTTGCATATAGTGGCTGGGCATAAAAGTGGGTTTGTTGGCTGCTATTGGGTGGAGGTGGGCAGTGTGAATAGAGAGACATCGGTAGTCTGACTCCCTTTCCACTCACTTTCCTCCTCCTCCATTATCCTACTCTTTCTTTTCATTTTCCTCTTCCTTTTTTTATGAGGAAAGTTGTTGAGCGTTGGGGTTCATATCTGGTTATGTCAGAGCTTACATATAGTTGGGGTTCTGATCACTAAGGTTTAAAGAAGATTGTCATCATGGTCTGCTCACCTACTCTCCTGATATCTTTCAGATGCATGCCGATAAGGAGCAACCAAATTCTCCACTCCTCTTTTAAACTTGGTGCTTCTTTCCACAACTGGATCACTGACTACAAACTCGTTAATAGTTCTGCAACCTTAGCAGCAGTAAATGTGCTCATCATCACTATTATCAAATTGTGTCGCACTAGGCAGCTGTTTGAACTCTTCATTCGTCTGTTCCTTTGATTTTACATGGATAACATTTTCTTTCATGTCATCAAATCCTTCTCCTCCAGTCTCTTCAGAAAGAAGAAGGATGGATTTTACAACCGCATTTATCTTGGGAAAGCCTTCAAAGTTAGTCATCCCACAGATTCTTTCAGCAATTATTTATCATCTTGACAAACCTCCGTCATTGTCAATGATGGATCAGCTGCAAGGGTTTCATTGGCAGCCTTATACAGTACACATTTAATATATAACTTTTAAAAGTTTTTGCGATGCCTTGATCTAGTGGTTGCATCAGTGATATTGCGTTGGCAAGCATAAACAGAAACTCAATGTTAGGGTGTGCATGCTCTAATGGGCCTTTACAATTCAAGAGTACCTTTAAGGCAAGGTTATTTGATTGCAGATATTTCTCCACTTAAGGAACAAAGCAATTATTTAACCAATCCCAATATATTTGCGTTGACATACACACGTTCTTAACAAACCACCAATGAATGGGCATCCGTTTCTTATTTTTTTCCTTTAAGCACTCAACCTTTCAAACCTTGTTTTGAATCTTTGTTGCCACCCTATAGCAGCCAAGAAAGGCTTGGGGATAACGACAACTTCTATTACATGCTCATTAAGGCACAGAGTCTGCTGCCTCAGAGTCATGCTGTCCACCACAGTTTTTCTATCATTCACCATCTCTTCATCCACAAATTCAGTCTCTCTTCCATCTTCTCAATGTAGACATCACGAACCACTGCTCTTACTTTTGCACTTTGAAGTGCTGATTCCCTAACACAAGTGCGAGTTTCAGTTTCCTTCTTTCGGATATAGCAAACAGTGGTCTTGGCGATACCATACTCACGGGCCACAGCACTTGCTGACATACCACGCTGCAACTCTATTTTTTCTGTAAGCTTTGTAACAACTTTCTTTCTCTTGCTTACACATTCATCAACATTAGACTTGCACTTGGGAGCCATTGCAATAACCGATAGGGGGTTACTGAATGTAAAAACCATCAGTTAATAATGACACTGATTACAGATACAGCTGTCGACGTACAAGAAGACAACTTCAGTAAGAACAGAGACTGAGGCAGGTCGGGTGAAGTAAATCCACAGGATGATGTGCAAGTGGGTGCCCTTAATTCATTACATTCCAACTGGGCAGTTGCTGTAGCAAAAAGGAGATTCTGGTCCGCAAGTGATATAGATCACTAATGATCTTGTGCAATAATTTTTTAACTCATGAAAAGTGAGGTTTTACTGTATACTGTATGTTTTACCAATTTAATTTTAAATTCTAATGCTACCAGTTAAATTTGACATATTTGTGCTATGTCTTGTTGATAAATTTGAACCTGGTGTTTAATGTATTGAAAAAATGTTACATCCATCCACATTTATGTAAAAAATATCAATACAGTACCCTTTCAAAGCAAAGTTTTTAATAATATAAAAGTAATCAAGTTATTACTGAATACTGTACTTACTGAAATGCCACAGAAAAAGACTGATGCAACTTGAACACTGAATGAAACAAGAAAGCAGGTCCACTTATCCTCCCTGGTACACAAAAATAAGCTGATACGTTTTAGATTGGACTAAAAGTGGGTAGCGTAAACCGATATTGCTATTTTAGCCTGAGTTGTGGCATAGACCGTACAGTATACAGAATATCTAAAAGAGAGTGCATATGCATGAAGTACTGTATAACTGACTTAACATTTCATAAAGGTGTTGTATGAGAAGTATAATAAAAAAAACTAGTTTATAATTGTATTGTTCCTTTTTACAGTTGAATGAGCACAACGTTGAACTAGCTAAATCACACCTGTACCCTAAGTGACTCTGGCGCACAATCGGGTGAGGTCAGAAACGCTGAAGATATGTTTTGTACGCGATTAACCGTCAATCATCTTTTGGCGTAATTACTGCACCTAAATGCTGCAGGAGCCCAATAACGACGTCATAAAACGTCTTTTACAGTACCTGCATTTGTGCTGCTTGCCAGATCAAGAGCTGTAGGACAGGGAATGCCAATAACAGGCAGCTCGGTGTCCCTATCTAGGTCTCCGCCTTCCGCCATTTCCACGGTGCGCCTACACCTTATTTTTGTCTCTGCATTTCTTAAATGCTGTATCTGACACTTTTAACCGACTTAGCAAAACGCTTTATTTTTGACACATGCGTTTCTACTTGCAGCTCGCCTTCAGACTCAACCTGGAAGTTCAGTGTGTTTAGTCCCTCCTTTCTCCGTTTATATTGGAGTGCAACAGCAGCAGCTTCCTGCCTCTTGACCCCCCAGTTTAAGGTGGAATTGCAAGACAGAAGCAAGTGCTGCATTAGCGCGTTTTCTTTTTCTAACGGACGGCTGCTGAATCAACAAGTTGGCTGTAGACATACTGAAAGTAAGGTTTGTTGTTAAAACGATCACTGTGGAGAAAACATTTAGGAATCAGTTTTAGTAGTAGGTGCTTTAGGAATTTACATACTACTGCCGTAAAAAAAGACGTCATTCTTACTTTTTGATAAACATATACAGTACTATAGCTTGAACTAAATATGGTCCTGACACCTTCCCTGTCTTACAAAACTGTTATAATACCTGATCACTGGGCATGCGTTATAATCGCTGAAAATAAAGACTACCTTTTGTTTTTGGATCCTTTCCAATACCATCTTCTAAAATCTAATTTTATCTAGTCTTGCCCCCGTTATTGTACATATTATAAATCTGTCACTCACCTCCAGTTTAGTTCCAGACTGTTTCAAAACTGTTGTGATTATTTCTATGCTTAAAAAAAACCTAATTTAGATACCACCAAATTTGAAAATTATCATCCTATTTCTCACGTTCCCTCCTTATCAAAGATCTTGGAGAAAACTAGTCACCATTCAATTACAACCTCATTTGTCCTCAAATGACCTCTTTGAGCAGTTTTAGTCTGGTTTTAGATCAGCCACAGTATAGAGACAGCGTGGGTTTTAAACAACCTTCTATTAAACCCAGACTCTGGCTCTACTGTAGTTTTCTATTGGTCCTATTCGATCTCACAGTTACGTTCGACACTGTTGACCACTAGATTACTGTGAATCATGGTCTCCTAATAATAGCCATCTGTGAATTGGCTTCATTACTCTGTTCTCCTCACTAATAGCTGATGTGTGGTGAGTGTACTGGCAGACTATGGCTGCCGTCGCATCAACCAGGTGGATGCTGCACATTGGTGGTGGTGGAGGGGACCTGTAAAGTGCTTTGAGTGGAGTGTCCAGAAAAGTGCTACAGTATACAGTATAAGTGTTTGGAATTATTATTTACTAGAAATAACAACACTCAAGACTAAAGCATCATAAAATAATTATTATGGAGTGAAAATTTGGCTTAACGCGCTTGGCTGAGGGCTTACCTCCTGGCCATAGGACAAGGAGGCCAGGACCCCCATGCAGGGGGGCCAAGGGGTAGCTTTAGAGGTGGAGATGGGGTGAAGGTTTGGATGCAAAAGACATACTGTACGGTACGCAAGGGAGAGTATACGCTAGAGGAGAATGGGGATCACTTAGTTATTTATAGTGTTTTGAGAGAGGAAAGGATGCCTGGAGCGATTGTTAGGTTGAAAAGAGAGTAACTGAGGCGATGAAGGATCACATGAATCGCTTGCTGGTACATGGAGAACAAGGAAATCCATGGTTCCTGGCTGAGATTAAACTATGTGTCGGAGCTGCAAACAGGAATGTTGATTGAATGGTGGAGACAGCGTCATAGTACAGTCCATGCAAAGACGCACACGAGGGGGGGAGAGATCCATTGCGAGTGGAAGCAGCGAGGCTCATGCAAAAGACATACACGAGGGTGAGATGAGGATCATGTGGGTATTTATAGTGTTTTGAAAGAGGAAAGGACTTTGAGAGCTATTATTAATTACTAAGATAAGATCACTTTATTGGCCATATACAATTTCTTGTATTGTATTTCTTTTTACACATACTGTACCCCAGCTTGCTCTCCATGAGACACGCACAGGAAAAGAAGCTTGGGGTCAGAGCGCATGGTCAGCCATATATATGGCGCCCCTGGAGCAGTTGGGGTAAAGGGCCTTGCTCAGGGGCCCAATGGAATAAGATTTCTCTGCCGGCTAAGGGATACGAATTAGCAACCTTCCAGCCACAGGTGTAGATCCTTAGCCACAGAGCCACCCTGATGGCTGAGTCTGATTGAACTTAGTTGTTGTCATCCCTCCCGAATGTTCGTTATAAACTCCATTTAAGAAGGTGTCCTTTTCATTTTTACACTGACAGCATTCAGCTTTACATAGCTGTCTCCTCCAATTCTTTGTGCAAAATTCTGTCAAATTGTGCAAGTAAAATTCAGGCCTGGATGAGCTCTAATTTCCTCCATTTGAGTATGACAAAAACTGAAGTGACTGTGTATAAAACAATAAACAATAAATTCCCTAAAACTTGAAAACATTAGGTTCAAATTACGGCCAACTATGAGAAAAGTGGGTGTTGTTTAATCCTGAACTCTGTTTTGATGCACAAATAAAAGCCATCTGTAAAGTCTTACTTTCACCTCAGAAACAAGGCCCATATTCAGCCTTTTCTTGACTACACTGCCTGTTTGCATCTCAGCTGACACAACTTCAGTGGCTCCCCATTACAAATAACATTTCTATTCAAACTTTTACTCTTAAATTAATCCCCACACACCAAATCCCCACAATGCTTAGCATTTCTCATTGTTTCCTATGTACCAAGTAGGGCTTTACACTCACTTTACTGCTGAGGCACATCTTTTAGCGATACTGTAAGTAAAGGTGTCACAGCCTTGCTGCAGAATTCTGGAACTCACTCCTTGCCACTCTGAAAACGATAACTGTTTTAAAGTTTTTTAGTACATTTTGCACGGTAGTAGTATAAAGCGACACCTTTCGTCAAGCTTTTTGACAGGTGCCACGCCCCTTTTGTCAGCCAATGAGAGGCCAATATGGGCGGATTTCCCGCCACCTCCCAATCCGATAATGCATCGTTATGAGTGTTGTTGTCCCTTCACCAGGGCGTCCTGAGCCTCAGGGTCCTAATGCCCAAATGTCTGTAAAACAGAGTGAAAGCTCTATTCACATTGCGAATATTTCACAGCCCTGGTTTTACAGACACGGGTGAGCCATCGTCTGAAGAAAGAAACATCTTGATTGTATACGTCAGAATTCTTACAAAGAGTGCTTTACACTCTTCTTTCTACAAAGCTTAAAATAAAAATCAAAGAGCAGAATGCTAATGTCCTCAAATTTGTAAAAGAGATAGATGTGCATGTAAAGAACATGAGTTCTGTAGTGTGTATTCCAAAATACAATGTATTTTGCATAGAACCCGTGGTATCACAATCCCTCTGATGAAGCAGGCAAATTTCTTTGCTCTGTACAGAGTCGCCCAGTTCGGTGTTCACGACTATAGAAATAGTGAGAGATAGGGCGTTATGAACGCTTTTTCAGATGTTGCTGAGTTTCTGAGCAATGTTGGGGTAATAGCAACATGTACCTAACTAATTGTCTGCACCAACATTTAATTGGTGATTACAAACAGGAGTCTGTGAGTATGTAACATGTGTGAAAAGTTCAAAAGTGAGATACTGGGATGTATTTGAAATTTGAAAAAGTGCGTATGAAATAAAGTCATGCGAGTTCTTTTCGTGACATTTTACTCAGTCAATGTGTGTGTGTGTGTGTGTGTGTGTGTGTGTGTGTGTGTGTGTGTGTGTGCTTCCACACTTGATGTTTCCTAAGACGTGTCCCAGTAGCCATATCACTCTGCAACTCACAACTGGCAACCCACTGAAGCTAAGCAGCTGTGAGCCCGGCCAGAACCTGGATGAGAGACCTCCTGGGAAGCTGTTGTTGCACAGGAAGAGGTGTTAGTGGGGCCAGCAGGGGGAGCTCACCCTGCGGTCCATGTGGGTCCTAATGCCCTAGTATAGTGACAGGGACACTATACTGTAAACAAGCGCCATCCTTCGGATGAGACGTAAAACTAAGGTCCTGACTCTCTGTGGTCATTAAAAATCCCAGGGTGTTTCTCGAAAAGAGTAGGGGTGTAACCCCAGCGTCCTGGCCAAATTTCCCATTGGCCCTTACCAATCATGGCTCCTAATAATCCCCATCTATGACTTGGCTTCATTACGCTGTTCTCTGGCGCACCATGGCTGCTGTCGCATCATCCAGGCGGATGCTGCACATTGGTGGTGGTGGAGGGGAGTGTAAGCAATTATTATTATTAATTACATGCTATTACAGCCAGTCTGACACCTGGCCGCGGCTAGCGCTCACAACCCAGGAACTCACGGCCTTCACCAGACTCTGGTGAGTCCAGAGTCACACGCCGCCATAACTACCCGATTCCCTAGGGGTATAATAGAGTGCGCTCAAACCCGCGGCAGACATGATCACCTTCCAACCCTCGTCGCTAATACGCGCTTTCATACACTTATTTATAAATCGAGGGGACAGCAGTGGTGGGCATTTGGACCCTGAGGCTCAGGTCCGCTCGGGGGGAAGGCGGGACAACAACACTCATAACGACACACCATTAGATGAGGAGGGGGCGGGACATCTGCCCATAGTGGCCGCCCATTGGCTGAAAAGGGGGGCGTGGTACCTGTTAAAAAATGTGACGAAAGGTGTCGCTTCATACTACTCACAGTCCTCTTACAAAAGCAGTCAAAAATGAAGGATCAACTCAGGAAAATTCAAAATTTCATATTCCAGCAGTTATATTTATAGATTTTGTGTATGATGAACACTGGGAAATCTAATATCACTATATAGTTGCGGTTAATAAACATGTAAAAGCTGATTTGACATTTATATTTTTTAATCAAAAATGTAGTTTTTAAAGCAATAAGTATATATATATACTGTTTAGTTGGCTTTCTGTTAATTACAGTCTTTAGTTGAGTTACAACTGGGATGGACAATAAAAGTTGCATTTTCAATGAGAACATATGTGAAACATTCAGAGGCTAAATATAATAATTAAAATCAGATTAAAAATGCATTCAATGTTTGTCACATCATGAAATGAGTTTTGAAATTATTAAATAATTGTGAAATAAGTTCAAACACATCAGCTCAGTAATTACAGTATAAAAAATAGCTTTAATAGCTTTCATAAACTTCGTGCAATACATTGATATAACAATGTACGTTTCTAACCTGTGCTTTGCAAGTTCAATCATGATTGTGAGCAATTAAGATAATACATATTTTTCAAATATCTTAGAACACCAAAGTTTTAATTGTGCAAAATAAAAAATAAAGATTTTTGCCGTTCAACATGTAGGCTTTAACGTGTGAAATCAGTAGATGTAGTTTTATGTAAACAGAGAAGGCTTCGTTGCATGAGTTTTCTAAACAGTTATTTATGCAGTTGCACATAAACCATGTGTAACCTTTTTATTTATTGCTTTGTATACTAGAAAGGAGAGAAAGCTCTTGACAATGACAGTTTTCAGTCTATTAATATGGATTAAGGATCCCTAGTAAAACATTTGTTGACGTCCAGCCTACAGTATCTAAGACGTCTTTGAGACTACATCCACTCTTACCCTGGTTTTAACAAAAGATTAGTGAAATCAGGTTTCTTTCTTTCCTAAGCCACACTCCAAAAAAACAAAGCAAAAATGGAAAGATGACAGCTAGCACAACCCACCTATCCATCAGACTTAAGAGACATTTGTAGTTTTTAACCAAAATGTCAAGTATTTGTAAAAGGAGAGAATCTTGGCTTTCCTTTTGCAGATGTCCACTCTCAAAGAGCTTTCAGACCCCGATTTTCAAAATACTTAGACAAATCCTGGTTAATTGAGATTTCAGACTTCGTAACATTGCATTTTCAGGGGAGAGGGGGTTGGTATGTGCAGCTGTTTTGTGTTCTTATGTTCAATTTGTCTTTAATTTAAAACCAACAACAATAGGAGAGTTAAGAGTTTCCTTTTGACACTTCTGTGCAGCCTTTTGAAATGTGTCTGCTGCATTAAAGCAAATGTGCTCGTGTAAAGTGTCACTGGACTCTTACCCTGAAGTGAATACAATTTTAAAAAGACTTTTCTAGACTTCTGGGTTGATCCATTATTACCTTCAGTGGAGACAGAAGTTGTTGTTTATGCAATGTGCATTTACCTTATTTGCTCTGGATTTATATTCTGTAAAATGTAGATCGATTTGGAGGGTTGACATATAGTTTGAGTGGGAAGCCGTAGCAAACTGCATATTCCAACCATCAGTTTCTGAAAAGATTTCTCAAAGACAAATGAGAGAAAACAATAAAGGTAAGTGTAAGGAGAGTACATTTAACTAGTAACTGGAATACTCTCTTAGACTTCTAGTAATAACACGTGAGAAGGGTTTTCAAATGTTGTGTTGACATACAGTAACAGGAGTAAAAATAATTTACAGTTCCTTGCAAATGTATTCACCCCTTATGTTGATGCCCCATACTTTTTAATTAATGTAATGTTGATAATGTTGCTTTATTAGCCCTATACAATTTCTTGCCTTAGGAATTCATCTTTTCACATACCCCAGCTTGCTCTCCATGAGACACAGACACACTGACAGGGAGAGAAGCTGTAGGTCAGAGCACAGGGTCAGCCATTGTACAGCGCCCCTGGAGCAGTTGGGGTTAAGGGCCTGGCTCAGGGGCCCAACAGAGTAGGATTCCTCTGCCGGCTGCGGGATTTGAACCAGTAACCTTCCACTCACAGGCACAGATCCTTAGCCACAGAGCCCCCTCTCCGCCTGAATTACTGTATACATGATGTACTGTAAAGTATTACACATTTCTTAAGTGATTTTTTAATCAAAATTATAAATATCCAAACTGAACACTTTTATGGGTGGAAGTTAAACAGCACCAAAGAACAATCTGAAACTAAATAGCTGAAACACAAGTCCTTATTCTCACCCTCATTCACCTTTGGCAGCAATTACAGCAGGGAGCCTTTTCAGATAAGCCACCTTCACACACAAACAATTTTGACCCATTCTTCTCTGCAAACTTGCTCAAGCTCTGTTAAGTTGGTTGGGTATTGTTGATGGGCAACAATTTTCAAGCTGTATCATAGATATTCTATTGGATTTAAGTCAGGGCTTTAACCATGCCATTCCATTCATTTTTGTCTTGTAAAGCCATCCTAGCATAACGTTGGCCTTGTGCTTGTGATCATTGCACTGCTGAATTTACATGCCAAGTTGTTGTACTGTAGGTTGTTTCCTGTAATCTGCTCCATTTTTTTCTCAATTTTGACACGATTCCCAGTCTCCGTTCATCAGAAGCAGCCTCATAACATAATGCTACCCCCGCTATGCTTTACAGTAGAGATGGTGTTGAATGGGTGATCTGGCGAGTTGGGTTTATGCCAGCTGCAACACCATAAAGTTCCAAATTTGTCCAATCTGACCACAAAAACATTTTGCAATGTTTTCAGTTTCACTTTATATCATTTAACCTCTTCATTGCAAACTCCATGTGAATCTGCAAGAAATTGTATGGACTGCCACTCTGCCATTCAGGCTAGCCTTTTAGAGTGACTAGGATATCGTTGACTCATGGACATTTTCTCCTGTCTGTTTCTGTCAGAGATGGCACTTCTTCAAAGGATTTTGGCCTGCTTCTTATATGTGGTCAAAATTTGAACGTGGTTCTAATTTCGACTGCAGGTGACATTGATAATGTAAGGTTGGATGTGAATGATTTCAAACCTGCTGTGAAATCTGAAAGTTCACCTGAATGATTGGTTTGCAGATCAAAGCCAGAAGGTATCCCACTGTTATAGACATAATATGAAGAGATATTTTGCTGCCAGATGTGATACAGAAAACGTGGCTAGAACCATTTTAAGTACTGTGTTCTTGAATTGTATTATTAGTCTTGAAGCAGTGATGAGAAATGACTGTCTACTTTGAACACACAAATTCATTATATAAAGTATGTCCGGTCAAAATAAAAGACTGTTACATCAGATTTTCCAATTGAACAAACAACTCAACATGGCAAAGAAAATAACTTTTTTCCCCCAAAATGAAAGACAAAATATTTTCTAAAATGTAACCATTTATTTCACTCCACTACAAAAATTATAGTAATTTGTGAACTATGGTACAGACTCAAATGTACAAAATATACAAGTAAAGCAACAAAGGGTATGACATTTTACAGTGTTAATGGTCCCTTATTTTATTTTCAAATGATTCCTTTGAAAAACAAGATAATGCTAAGACCAAGCAATCAGAAAACGGCCCTTACTTTCTTTCCATTAGAAAAGAAAAACTTTAATGTACATACAATGTGCAAGTTTACAGTTAAATGTTTGGACTATATAACCAATGATCTATCATGTAAAACTGATGATATGGGACAAATATGAAATGCAATATGATAAGTTGTATATCCCACATACAATTTTACATGTAAAGATAAAGTAAACCTGTAATAGAACATATAAAAAAGTTTACATTGTGACATGCAAAAATAGGACCACATTCAATCAGATAATTGTTAGGGAAAATCTTTAGGACTGGCGAAAACTGTAGGGAAAGTTGAAAACTGTAGAACTGCATGCTTCTAATCTTGACAGCGATTAAAACTGATATGCAGAAGATGCTAGACACCAAAAATAAACTGACTTTTACCATTCAAATAGAACCATACCAATATCAATAAGTGTGAAGAGGGGATTTTTTAATATACTTGTAGATCAATTTTTTCTGTAAAAATCCTCTTTGGATCTTAAATTTCTATACACATGCTCATCCTCAAAAATATTAATCTTCATCCATAGTCTATTTTTAACACTACCCTTTTAATTTTAATGAGAATAAAACTGATCAAATGTGAATGAAAGGTTTTCTGCCACAGGCAATAATGTAATATGCATCCTAGAAAAGGAGTGTTTTAAGACTACATATGAGGGTATAAAAATATTAACAGTGTATAGGGAAATGGATTATTTTTCAATGCTTTTTGGATGAACAACATTAAAGGGAGTGTGCTATTTAGAAGTACAGATGTTTATGAGCCCCTTAGACTCCCCTAGACTCTGCCCCCCGTAAAGGGCAGAAGTTGAGCAGGTAGAAAGCTTGAGTTAAGGATTATCCAGTTCACAGAGGACATCTAACAGTTCCTGATATGTTCAGTGTAACATCCAACATGTCAGCAACAGGACAGTGAATATGATCAATTGCTTTTTTCATTACTATTTCAAACCTGAGCACAGTTATGTTTCCCTCAAACATTAAAACCCAAAGATACCAAAATTAGTTTGGGTTTCAAAAATGACAGAAAAATGGAAGCAATTTAAAAAATCAAAGAGTTTTTATAAAAAAAGCAGATCAAAAGGTTTTTAAAATTTCTGATCAGTAACAACAGTCCAGAATTGCTCAATATTTATAACTTCCGACTATAAATTTACAACATGTCACAACTTCAGCTCTTGTCATTATAAGAAAAGGAAACAAGCACCTACTGTAATTACTTGACACTCGTTTTATCTTATAGATTCACTTCATGTTTTTTTCCCCTGAAATTAGGGTTAACTTTCCAAATCTAGCTTTTAAAAGTGCAGTGGTGCTCAACTGTTTAAACATTCAAACAAAAAAATACATTAGTATGTCTTTTTGGCATGACTTACCGCACTCAACTAAAATATATTGCTTCCTGCAATATTCTCAAGGTTATAAATAAATTATAAACCTTTAAACAATTACTAACTAGAGTACTGGATTTTACAAATGTGAAAGTAAGGAAAGTTCCCAGAGATTGCAGAGTGTATCCAGGGATAAGTCATGAAGATGGACAAGAAATGTACAAACACAATATTGCAGTAAATTTGTAACGTCTATGAAATTAAGTGACAAAAACTCATCCAATCTTGTCATTGCAGAGACTGGGAGTTTCTGGGAAGCCTTTAATGCATTTTAATGGAAGGCACCTTCAGTAGAAAAGGGGCAAAGGGCATATAATTTGGTAGAACAGCTTGTAGTGGCATACAGCAGCTGAAGAAAAGTGCATTTAGGGTGATCCGCATGCTGAGTAACATCAATCACTGAATTATAAAAATACATTACACTACTGTATATAAAAAATAGCCTTTTCCCTTGTTTTCAGTGCTTTATTATTTTTGTTCCATTATTCAACCGGTTCTCAAGTCCTAGACGTGAAGTTGATGCTGGAAACCATCTTCTGGATCTTATCCTCATTCTTCAGGATGTTGGCCTTCACAGCACAGATCTTATCCTGCTGGTCCTTGATAAGCTGTTCCAGTTCTGCAAGCTCAGTCTTCAAGGGCTCTATGGCACTGTCTGTTATTCTAAGTACAAATTAAGCAATGTGTTAATGCCATTTGCCAGTGCAGTGTAAATATAACGGAATACATATGTCTCAAAGAAAATGTTTTTTTTCATTAATAGAATCTGGAAATGTCTTAGCCCTAGTCCTACCTTTGCTCTTGCAGCAGTGCCTGTGCATGCTCTTTATTTTCACGCCGCCATGTCAGTAGCTCATTCTGCATGGAATCCATATCCTCCTGGATGTAGTCCATGATCTTACCCAGTGGCAGGGCGCTGCGACACACTGTTTGGATGGACAACCTTAACTTCTCAATCTCTCTGGACACCAAGTCCCGCTCTTTCTTCTTTGCTGCCTCAGACACCAGAACCCTCTCCTGTGGCCAAAACAAGCAAAAAATGTCTTATCTCAATTTCCTTCTAGATAGTTGCAGTCTTATACTTGCTGATATTCTATGGATATTGCATTTTCTTCACTTTGCCGACGGGTTGATAATGTTTATTATTGCTCAGATCACAAACACTTAAAAATTAAGCATAAATGAATAATGTGCAAGTGGAACATTTATTGATTACATAGATACTACTCTCTGTTTCATTTTTTTAATGAAAAATTATGCAACAAAAATCAAATATACAGTATAGACATAATATAGTATTCACTTTCTAATGCATCTAGTTAGAACTCTGCTCCAATCACTGTTAAAACCAGTATCCAACTGACTTTTTGGGCTCAAAAGCCCTAGGATGTTTATTCAGCTGTGTTTGCAAGCTCTGAGTGGACTAGAGCCAAGCTCATACTCATATTCTCAGCCTGGAGAGTTATACACACATACATAAAGCATCACCAGATTAATGTTTATTTACTTTAGTAACAGGGTGTGTTAGTGAAAGTTATTGTCCTACAGTATTTAGTAAGAAATAATACACATGTACCCTTTAAATAGTGGGAGGTAGACTAGTGCTGCATAGACAGGAAAAAGTTAACAGAATGTAGAGTATTTCCTCTGTTTAGTGATCATTGTATAAACGTTAAAACAAACTTTATTTTAAAATTAAATTTTAGCTTTTTTTGTTAAATTTCAAATTTCAAAATAAAATGCCTTTCTTTCTGGAATGTATTCATTGTTGGCTAAAAGGGCACAGGGAGTTTGTTCTTTTCCCCAGGTGATTACTAGACGTTACCCTCCTCAACAGCAATCAAATCCAAACAGGTTTCATGTGCCACAAGCAGGCAACCTGAAGTAGTGATGTTTTTGTATATTACTGAAGCAGGGTATTAAGAAACTAAGGTTTTTACTGTAATTTTCACATGCAAATTCTTAGTTTGGATTGGTGATCCATGTTGGTTTTTAAATGTCATATAAGATATGTAAAGTCTTTTAAATTCATGTTTATTTCTTTTATTTAGCATTTCTTAAAAAATAGTGTTTTTTCTTCTGGCCTGCATATTCAATATTTTAGTATTTATGTATGCTTGTCAGCTGGATGAACAAAGGTCTTCTCTAGCCATTTCAATCCAAGCTATGTAGAACTTAACAATAAATTATAAAAGCGTATTCTATAATACTTGCTACTGACTTACAAGAACTATTAAATGTCAGCCCAGTGGGTCAGGAGTGAGATGCTTCAGATAGATAATAGGGATCTTCAAGTAGCACTGAGTCAACTACAACTAATCGACAATATTCCACAATGGAGAAGTCAAACATTTTCATAACAAAATCAAGCTAACAAATCATAGCATAGCAATTTGTATGCTTCTATGAACAGTCATGCAGAGAGCCTTGTGGCTAATGCTCACTGTGCTAGAATACAAACTGAATTCTTAATATTTTCACCTTAAAATCACAAAGGTTAAGATATGCCATAGTTATGTGCAATGTGGGTGGTTTTCTGAGCTGCTAAACACCCAGGCTAACTAAATACAACACGGAACATTCACCAACTGTACATAAAGTATGGAAACCAGACGGATTCAGTCTGCTTACGATCATCCTACACCTCATCCCCCAAAAACTACCCATACCCAGTCCTGACAAGCATAAATCAATCGTTTATAGGGGCTCTGTCAAGATCTACAAGCCCAGAGCGGCCTTATTTTTTCTTTTTTTCACAAGGAACCAAGAAAAATATTTGTTTTGAGGATAACTGATGGGGTCTGCTTTTCCCATTACCTCTGTTTGCGATGGAAGCACTGTTTGTGCTTCAAAAGCAGGTGGCTCCAAGAATCTTTCCATTCAAAAAGCTATGACTTTTTAAGCTGGGAAAGAATATACAGGAATGAAACGATTACTAGAAGGAGTACTTTTAATATGAGGGCTAGCCAATTAAAAACAAATTATCTGTGGCCAATGTCAGTCTGTCAGTATCAAAATTTCACTTATAAGTGATTCAGAAATCCTCCTGGAATTTGAATGAAAATAAAAGATAAAGTGTCTGCTGGCAAACAACAGGGTGCCTGAAATATAAGGAGGTCAAATTATAGCAATTGCAGTTCAACAATTCTAGGGAATTATGCTGTAAATGTTTACATTACAGCACTACTTTACAGCACACCATAATATACACAAACCAAAATAAGATGGTCACAAAATAAACTCTAAGACTTCCACAAATACAATGTACATACAATTGTCACTGAAATCTTTGGGGAAAATGTAACTTCTAACACAAGTAGAAAAACAAAGTCCATTTCAATCAATAGAAAAACATAAGGTTTTTACTGTGCCTCTAAGCTTTACAAGGCAGTGACTATCAGTATATTAAATGAATAGAAAACCTATCTACAGTACATTCCCAAGTTTGCATGTTTACTTCTTTCAGCTTATCTGTGCTCCCCATTGGAGTTTTGAGTAGTTTGAGATGAAATTTCAACCTTCCTAATAAACAAAAGATAGCCACAAGTATTTTGTGCTGGCTGTGTAGACCTGCTAATGCTAATGGAACATTAATTGATGACTCTTTTGGGGTTTTCTGCTGGCAAAGATTAGAGCACCCTGCTAGATCATAAAAATAACAGAGGTGCAATGGCCTGAGGAAGAAGAGCATAGTGTCAATGAGGTCAGAACAGTGCAAAGGATATGGAGACCTGACCATTCTCTAGAGGATTCTATAAAAGTACAATTGCTATTGCCTTGGGTACAAAGATAAGAAACCTTACTATTACTAACTTCAAACTTGCATTTGGGTTTATTAAAAAAAAAACATTAGGAGCATTAGAAAAGTGTGAAAAACACCTTAATTTAAGGAAAGGGAAATGTTCATAAAGACACAAGCTAAATCTTTGTGAATTCTTTCAGCCAGAACTATTTATTTTCATGCAGGTTTTTCATAATAGACTCTGGCCTTTCTCTGACATTACTTTCACTCAACAGCGGTTCACTTACACAACAGGGTTTATTTATTCATCACAAACCTTCATCAAGGGTAATTTCATGGTGTAAAAAAGAAAAAAAGTCTACACACAAAAGTGCAGCTGCTTAGTGAGGCCAAGGCCAACGAAATAAAAAGACTCCCTCTAAAATGTATCTTGGAATAATATACAAGAGATCTGGGGGGCCGTGTAGAAGGTCGTCCCAAAATATACACTAAATTCTTTACTGTCGCACTCTGTGATGAGGGATGGAAATCAGCAAAAAAGTTGATCATATTCCATATTTTATCTTATAGGCTAATGATTGATACTCAAAGTTTTATTTTTTCAAGTGTACAAAAAAAGAACTCAAATCACAACATCTTTAAAATAAAAAAGTGAATATAGTATCTTTTAAGAGTCATAACAGTAACCAAAGAATATTTTCCTCCAGCCACTAAAACCACAAAAATACAATTTTTTTTCTGGTCTAGAATGCGAGATGAAAGCTCAGTCATGAATGACAGACACCATTAAATGTATGCCAAAAAACACTATTATATGAGAGATAGATATACACACTATATATATATGTAAATGCATATTGTAATTTAATACATTTCTGCACTGTACTGTATACAGTATATTTATAAATTGTATTGTATACTCTACTGTATACAGTATAGCATACCCTTGCTTTACTGAACTAATATGGGACCAAGGGATGTTTAGCAGTTTATTACTGCATCCCTTGTCAGTATTGCTGGCTGTTCATTCAATTACCAATAAGATATTTGGAGCCCAATCCATAGAAGGGCAATAAGTTTAAACTTAAGGTATAAAATTTGTACAAAATGAACAAAACCACCAGATATCTGAAATAACATCCTACAAATAATACCAAATTTACATGGAATTCAATGCTGCAATTAAAATGTATTGCGTTTCTTAACATAAAATAATTCAAGTAAAGTGTTTACTTTGTTTCCTTGCACACTAATGAGTATTATATTTTAAAAAATACCATTGCATTACATATGGGAACTGAGGGTTCTGAGATCAGCTTTTTAACTTATCAAATGGATGCTTAATTTATAGTATACATACAGTATCTAATAAATGATTAAATACAGCAGTAAAATTGTAAGCTTGACTGGATGAATTAAACAAGGTATTAATTTCCTTTGTGCTCAAAGCAAGCTTCTTTTCTTGTGAAAATTATAGCAAAATACAAGGCCAAAGTTTTTTTTTTCAGAATGAAATAAATGAAAGAATGGAACTGATTTTAGAAAGTTAAAGACTAGACAATGGAGAAAAACAATCTGAGAAATAAAACAGACACATTTAATTATATGCATTAGTGACTTTAAAACCGGGCTGATGATAATGTTTGCACCATGTTACACCATAATTACAGAAAAAAATCGTTATTATACTGACCCTCGACCCTTCAAAGGAAGGAAGTCATTAGAGTCCTTTAGACAGCCGACGAAGCAAAATTTGAAATGGAGAACGGGAAACGGGTTTCTAAATAAAACTGCACCAAGAAACATGGCCTGCTGGCTGGAAAGCCAATTTACTAAGATTATGATTGGTAATAACTTTGTGAAATTTCGAAAAAAACTGATAAAAGTATCGTTAAGTCAATTAGGTAATCGGATGCTGAGTATTCAGATTTGATCAACATTCCTTACACATTTAATTTTGTTTGATTAGTCACTGATTATAGATAATTCTACCCATAGTGCTCTTTGCATCCCTAGTACATGTTTCATAAAAAGTAACCTTTATTTAAGAATGAATACTTTGATAATATCACATTTTCCCTTTTACTTTCATTTTAAATAGGAAAAACTATTAGATTGGTAAAGAAACCATCTGAATATGCAAGCCCTGATAAAGAATTCCAACAGGAGCAATGTTGATGTTTATTCTTCTAAAAATGTTTTGCTTTTAGTAAATCTAGATGCCCTGGAAGTCCATCTAGGCCAAACCCTGGTTTAATAATGTTAACTTCAATTCTTTTAGAACTAAGCTTACATAAATTCTGATTCCCAGTACTGCATGTTAAAAACAAAAATAATGTCAATGTTTATCCTGCAGTATTCTTAGAGGGATATTAGTCCTTCCAAGTTTCCACAAAACCATGATTGAAGAATTTATCAAGGAATGTGATCCCTCTTGCAGAATTTTCCATTTCTTACAAAAAATAAAAACTTTACCTTTTTTTCCGTAACTCCCTACTATCACTGTTCAATACATTAGAATAGCGTATGAATGGTATTTGTAACTTAGAAGTTGAAAGTGTTTTAAAATGTGCTTTGAGCTACATATTCCGAAAGTCAAACATTCCTATGTACCCCCATCAGCTGCTGTAACTTCACCGATTAACTCTTAATTTCCATTAAGGGTGAACGTAAGTAAAACCATGAACAAATGTACTGTTTTGGTTACGTTCTGGGAAGTGGACGAAATAAAACCAATGCTTAATATATATATAATATATATATGTAAAAAACTATAATATATATAAAGTGCCATAAAATGAAAACATTTTTATACTCTCAGAAAGCAACTGACAGATTTACAAAAAAGCACCAGAGCTCACGAAAAATAAATATAATGTACAAAACAACTGAACTTGACTGTTGCAAATACAAAACTCTACGATAAAAAGATTTTTTTATTCAGAACAAGTTCTGAACATAGCGTGATCCAGATTTGTCTCATTTTCTGTTTATCTTTATATAGTTTGAAGAAGGCCTAAAATAATAAGCACCTAGTTTGGATTTCATCCAAATGAGGCAAAACTTGCATGTGTTTTTTTCTTTGATTGACATCATGTTTATTCAGTCTTGAGAGAATTAAGTAAGCTTAAGTAAAAAGTTTAACTTCAATTTTCCAAACAGATATCAATGCTAGTGTTCTTCACTAAATACACTCACTGCTACAGAATTTGACAAGCAATATGAAGAAATCTCTTTTGTTTTACATTTTACGTAAAACATAGTACATTTTTCTGCAGAATTCTATGATGCCTCATTTATGTATTACATGATTATTAACACATATCTTACTTAAAATAACAATAAAATTCACACAACCCAAGAGAATACCATGCATTATCTGTCAATGTTTATGACCAAACCTTATTATAAAGTCTACATTTGACAAAAAATTATGGTATTTAGGAATGTACATTAACCAAAAACACTGAGCAAAAGTTTCTTTACTACAGTGCTTAACTGCATTACTTTACATTCCTACACTGTACACATGGATCTTCAAATGAAATGTTAAGTACAGTATGTACAAAAAGGTCTGAAAGCCAGAACAAACAGATTACTACAGTTTGTCAAGAGTGCACACAACTTTCTTGGAAAACATGTACCAGAGTAATGAAATAGTTTTTCTGCATGAATGGCAGAACAAAATACAGCATCCATCACAGGGAACTACTCTGAAGACAGACGTAAGCAAAACTCCTGGTCAATTAGGAAGGACCACCCAAAACAGTCAACATATACCAGTCACTAGCAAATCATGAATGAGAATAGTCAAATCTGAATCATTACAAAAATATTGACTGGAAGCCTCTTACAGTAGACAAAAAAGAAAAATGGCATTACTCAGGCTTTGATGGGAAAAAGAGATGGGAGAATGTTATGCTTACATTTTGGGATGGAGGTCTCATTTTAAGAAAATTTTCCATTTTACAATAATAATGTCTGAATAAAGTGACTAAGAAAAAAACATTTACTGCTTGACTGGGACTTCAGTGAACATCTTAATGTTGGTCCTGATGACTTTTCTTATTTGCATTCATCCTTGAAATTGAGAAATATTCTCCCTTATTGTTTTCTGCTGTGGGAAATACATCCAAAATTACATTTCCTCTGATTAATATTCATGGCTTAACTGGGTCAGCGGCGTGCAAGTCATTAGATGTTTTTTAAGACATTAAAAATAAGTTATGAAAGCCTAAAAACCAGCATGGCTATTAACAATATCAGAGATCAATGAAAATTACACAGCATCCAACTGTTTAAACAACTGTTTGAATGTTTTTTTCCAGCACAAAGCTAAAACTTATAAATCCAGAAATCTGTCAAGTTCAATTTGTTTTCTTCAGCATACCATCAAGCCAGAAGAGAAGAAACCTATTTAGGTTTGGAAGTCTACAATTAGACTTCCACTATCCATTTCCTGTTTTACTGTGCAAGTTAACAGACTACACTTATTTATTATGAACACCAAATACATAAAAAACATCCCTAAAGTTGTTAATTTCTAAGACAAGGTGTTAACATGAAAATGTCTTAGTAGTTTAAGTATGTCACTTTTAAGTTGACAACTGGATGTACTCTATATTCATAAACTGACATTTAAGATCTTTAGTAGCACCTGCTATAAATAAAATAAAGTAAATTGTAAAAAATAAACAACTTATTGAACAAATGACAATACTTGTTATTGTTCCTGATTATTCTTTTCTTCCAAGTATCGAAAGTGAAAGTAACCTCTTTTAAGACATTTTAATGCATACATGTTTTGAACACAGGTCATATAAACTATAGTCACTAGTGGTTTAATTTAAACTTAATTATAATTTACCTGGTCTTTCAGCTTTGGTGAAGATGAAGTTTCAAAATCCTTCTTGGTTTCTAAAATTTTCTTCACCAGCCCACCTTGAAAATGATAAAAAAGGCACAGAATAAACCCCGATTTCTAGTTTTAAAAACGGAGTTGAGAGCTGAGAAGCAGTACAAAGGAAACGCCAACCACAACACCCATTAATATTCACACTATGTAGAAAATGTAGTATGTAACATGTAAATTAATATTGCAATCATATAAATTATTTTTGTTCAGTACTCATGTTAGTTTAAGATAATATAATTATTTTATACCCATTTTTAAACTTATACAATACAACTGTTAATTATGGTATATTTTCTTTGAAATAGTTCCTAATTCTGTAACTATGTAGTAAATAAATAGCGCCTACAGAATGTCTACACACCCTTTACAAAATATGTAAAGACACATTAAATTAGAATATTTTTACCTTAATGTACACACTAACACACAATCTTCCAAGTCAAAAACACCCCTTAGTAAAGAATACTGTAAATTAGCTCTGGTGTAACCAATTGCCTTCCAAATCATATAATAAGCTATTTTGACTCCACCTGTGTTAACTTGTAGTGATTAGGGTGATTTCAGAATAAAATCAGCTGTTTGTATAGGTCTCCTCTGCTGGACATTGTATCTTGAAGCAAAGAGTCAACTATGGGCAACAAGGAGCTATCAGAAGACTGCCAAGATAAAGATGTGGAAAGGCACAGAGATGAAGATAAAACAATTTTCAAAGGCCATACAACTCCCCTGGAACACAGTCAAGACCACCATTAACAAGTGATAAGGCATATGGCACCACCAAGACATACAGTAGATCAGGATGGACTGCTCAAAAATGGACGACTGGGGTAAGATCAATCCAAAGGCAGCTTAGAAGGACTTGCAGGCTTTTATATTAAAGATTGGTCAGTGTGTACATCGTACAACAATATCTCAAGCTTTCAACAAGTCAGGATTATATGGGAGTTTGGCAAGAAGAAAGCCGCTACTTATAAAAGCCTGCACTCTCATCTGAGGTATTCAAAACAACACTGTTTCTAAAGCCATGTGGAAAAATCATTTTGTGGTTTGCTGAAACCAGGATAGAACGTTTTGGCCTAAATACAAAATGTTATATTAGGAGAAAATCCTATACAGCAGATCATCCAGACAACACCATCCCTACTGAAAGCACAATGGAATTAGCGTTCTGTTATGGGTTTTTTTGCAGCACAGACTGGGGCACTGGTCAGCATTGAAGGGAAACTGTATGGACAAAACCACAGACAGATTCTTGAAGAAAACCTGCTGCCCTCTGCAGGGACGGTGAAGCTGGTAAGGAAGTTTACTGTCAATATAACATCAACCCTACACACAAAGCCGAAGCAACAGGGGAGTTGCTAAAGAACAAAAAGGTAAATGTCCTTGAGTGGCCCAGTCAGAGACCTGACCTCAGTCTAACTGAAAATCTGTGGAAGGTTGCAGTCTATCAATGGTCCCTCACAATCTGACAGGGTATTCTACAGTATGGAATGGGCAAACATTGTCAAATCTTGGTGTGTGATGCTTTCAAATAGAATGATCATAGGTTTTCATTTGGAATTACTTTTAAGAATGTTTGAGCATTTGTTTTGTGTTATTACTTTTATGTATTAAAATGTGTAAAGATAAAATAAATTCTGATTTAATGCATCTTGATTTCAGGCTGCTAGCCCACAAAATGTGTTACTTGGCAAAGGGTGTGTAGACTTTCTACACAGTAACTTCTACTGACATCCCAGGGTAGATGAACAGGAAGTGACAAGATTATATTGTTTTATCCGTTATAAGTTTCGTGTCTGAGTGGATCCCAGAGATACATAAAATAAGGGTAGCATTGCATCTATTTTTGATTCTTTCAATCTGCCCTGTTAAAAGTATGACAGGCATCTTAATTACAACTTACCATGCGTTTCGTCATCTTTCAACTCCACAGCAGGCTCCTGGGAGAAGAATGACATTATTACTGTACATAGAAATCCACAAATGACTAATGTGGTAAATGTGATAAGAAACATGAAACTGGATAAATAAATTACTTGGTGATGTTTTTTACTAAAACCAAATAGATCTTTGCACAGGCTACTGTTTTGACAAGAGTGCTTAGGTAAAAAATATACAGCTAATTTAAAACTGAAAGCATATTACTGAAAGAATAGAACTGAATAAATAAAATAAAACACTTCTGGTTCTGCAATCAAAATGATAGCTAACAGCTACAACTACAACTCATTTCCTCCAGAAAGATTTTTTTAAAAATCATAACTAAATCTTAATATTTGATGTAGTAATTGTAGGACAACAGGTTTTAGAATAAAACAGATTTTATTCATAGGAAATGCATTTTTGGGAGTGTACCATTTGGAACTGATGCTGTTAGGAAAACGTCTTAAATGCTGTAATAGCTAACAAAAGCAAACTATTTTTATTTATTTTATCTAAAATTTCCCTCAAAATTCAGAATCATAAAAAAATGGAAAAAATCATGGCTGTCACCCATGCCAACTAACCATTTCCAATTCAGGCATATCAGGAGGAGGTAGCGCTGCTTCTTCTACCATAAACTGTTCGTCATCTTCATCATCATCAGAGAGTTTTTTCCCTTCCACTATCACAGCTGACAAAGGCTTTCCACTGCCAACCCTAGATAAGAGGTTAAAATCTAGTTTTTACAGCAGAAAAAATGTAAAAATCAATGTTGAAATACGCATGACCTGTGTGTTTTCTGCCAAGAAGTTTTACTTTCTACAGATTACATAGCATGTCTAACAGCAAGACTTTAAGAAAATTAATACTGAAATACATTTAAAATCAGATTAGATAAAATTAGTTATGTAAGTTTCTATTGTGATATTTCATAATTAGTATTTTCAAGTTTATCAGAAACCTGAATACAATCATAAAAACAGGGTCCAATATTTAATTATAAGTGATTTGTTTTTTTCAAGTTATTGTTAGTGACAAACTATGTGTGAGGTTTACAGTATGTATTATTCTACACAAATCATCCCACAGGTGCCTTGACTGATAAACCATAGGCCAGCACTGATCTTAAATGAAAAGTAACTCACCCTTTCCATGTGGAGATTAAGTATTACTTATTAAGACTGAGGAGTTTCTTTGAAATTGCTATTGCTGAAACCACCAAACATTATACAATACAAAACATTCATCATTACATGGAAAACAACAAGCCAACTCCTAAAGCAGCCAGTAAAGTCTCCTCCAACCTTAGATATTGTAATTTGAAAGGAATCTTTGTGGCATTTTCCCCCAAACCTTACAATTATGATGCCGTGTTATTGCACACAGTATGAGTCAACCATAGATGCATCTGAATTCATTAGTAGTACTGTATGAGTCTAGTGATGGTGAACAGATGGACAATGAATACCCTAAAGCAGTGGGTCTCAGTCCTAGTCCCTGCTCCTGTTTACTGTTTTTTGTTCCAATTGGATTCTTGCTAATGCTAATTGCTGATAGTAACTGATCCACTTGCTTGTTAAGGCTTTTTTTATACATTCGGGCCTTAGTTTAAAAAATACCCTAAACAATCCTGGTCCTGGTTAACCTGTGGGTCTTGATCTTTTGCTTAAGCCAAATTCTTAATCACGGGCTAATTTATTTCAATTTACTATGTAAAACCTTTTTTAAAATTTACTTTCAGTTTTTCAAAAACTGAATAAGATTTGTAATGGGTATGAACCTTGTGCTAATTTAAGTGTGCTAGCTTAAATATAACCAACTAAACTTAAACAGATGGAAAAATGTTGACTCCAATGTCTGTTCATCTATTAAGAGCTGTTTGTTTTGAAATACAGGAGGAAATTGTCAGTTAGCAAGGTGAGCAGAGACAGCACAAAGTTCTTTCATTAAGTTCTCTGTCCTAAAGTATTGGAAATAATTCGCTTTAAGGCCACGTTGGAACAAAAACCACCAAAAACAGTGAGAGGTACTATGGGACCAAGAATGAGAACCACTGTTAGAGAGACTTCAAAGATCTGTTACATACATTCTCATTCTTTCAGGTATTTTAATGCTATAATTAAAACAGGCAAATCTGCATTGCATTTATGTAACCAACAACACCTGTAAACGCATGGGTTCTCAGTTTTGCCATTCCTTTCTTTGGAGGTAAGGAGCAATAACAGCTCCAACAATTTAAAGAAATCTCAATATCTCATACTGAGCATCCAAGAAACAACAAATTCACAAAATTATCATAAGGGAAGTTGCAATCTGTCTTGTAGCAGATGCACTGATATTTTATTGAACAGACAACATATGCATATTTATAAACATTTGCTATCAAAAGGATTTATTTTCATTGAATCTGTTGTGAAAGGTATGGAGTAGTAGCATGTGTAGCCTGCTTTGTAAACATGTGACACATGTTTTGAACCAGGCAGCAAATGCTGTCTTGTGGGATTCTGTGTCATAGTTCTTATAGAACTCAGGCAAGCATGTCCATGTTCACTGGTGCCTGAAACCTACATGCCACAATGTTTTGTTCCAAGTCAGTTCACAACTGTTGAATTGGGCTCAATCCAAGTATGGGAGTTGGGCATCTATTGCATACATTTCATATTCTCAATCACAAGTGAAGCTGTGTTGTGACAATACCCTAATCTTACCTTTCTGCAGGTGACGTGTCAATGCTCTCTTGCCGTTTGACCCGTGGTGGTGCTGGTCGGGCACTGCTGGGGCGTGGTATTCTCCTATTATGGCAGAGCAGAGGACCACAAAGATTATTGACAACCAAGCTAGAAAAGATCATTCCCTGTCCCACCACAAGCCACATGAAGGTGCTAGGGCTGCTCCAGACTTATTCTGCATGGATTTCTACACTAGAAAAATGGACAGCCTGTGATAATTTAGGGCTCTGTCAAGTTGCTGCTCAGAAGAAAAGAAAACAAGACGTCATTCGAGAATTCTGAATCAAAGATCCGCACCTGTGAGCTGACAGAAAAATGTGAAAATGTATGGGAAGAAAAGAGGCAGCAGCTGTGTGTGACACAGGTCCTTTAAGAATACTAGACTGGTAACAACCCTAATGGCTGGAAAGAGGACCAAAAGAGGTGTGTTTTTCTGTTAGGAAAGTGAGTCTTTACTATGTGTGAATTAGGTCTGAAAAGGGAAGCAGCCTTTAGATAGTTATATGCATTGCAGATAAGACTTCAGAAAAGTTAGGTCTCCAGCTCTGGATAAAAAGTGGTTACACTGAGGAGAGGGTAATGGTCTGATGGACAAGGACATGCAGTCTCCAAGTGAATTACTCAATTCTCCAAAGCCTCTTTAAGTGGTATGATGGAACTGTACTTTGAATGCTTGATGTACAATGCCTGTTTGTGCCTTGATGTGAAAAAAAATTAGTAATCGTTTTCCATAGTCTCTGTCACCATCTAGTGTTATTTTTTGCTATTACATCAATGTTTCTGGAAAGACTTGTTAAGATATCTTTAAACCATGGATAGACATTATAAAATATCTGTCAAAAATTAAAAGTGGTAGATGATATTATTTTTGAACAACTTGATACAGGTGAGTTAAATGCCTACAAACATCACAAAATAGCATCTTCTGCCTGAACTTAATCAAATAACTTCTGAGTTTAACTCGAGAAGGATTACACACAATGTAGATGCCATGGGTCTTCACACTATATGTCATCCATGGGAACACAAAGATACTTGATTTAGGTGGAGTTCTTTGGAGCATCTGTGGTTCCTTCCCCCCCACACAAACTTTCCATCACTTTGGTAAAAAGTTTAACTTGATCTTTATCATCTGTCCATAAAACTTTGTTCCCAAACAATTTAGGTGTGCTAAATGCAAAATACCACTTTGTGAAGTTCAGTGCTACAGAGAATACCACACACTGAAAGAATTACTAATTTTCCAGTTCACTCTTCTCCTGCCTTATCTTAACACAATTATTTCACCTTGTATCAGCAATATCTGCCACTGTTGGAAATAGGAAAAATACTTTACTGTTTTTTATCTGTCAAGTTAAAACTGTCAAGTTTCATTCCTCTACACATATTGTGACAAACAACTATGCAAATCTTAATGGTTGGACATTGGGACAATTTTTGTGAAAAATGTTGCTCAGCAACAAAAAAAAGTGTCACATCTGAGAACTTATTCTTTGTCTCTGTTGTGTTTTTACTGCCGCCTACCACATTCATAATGCGTTGTGTATTTCAATTAACATTGATTGCAATTTCCCTTCATAGAAAAAAAAGCTATTATTTCATGTTTTCATTACAGATTAACCCATTTAAAAAATAACATTAATACAATTAAGTAGGAATGGAACAAAAAAAATTGCATCCATGGGTTCATTTTAATGCTAACTACTCAAAGGGTTAAAATCTTAGATCTTAGAAAGTGCTGGTAAAACTATAAAAACACAATTTTAAAGGGAATACAACCAATTAGCTTTTATGTATTTTAACAAGAAGTCAAGACTGCTCTGTACTGAAGGTTTGCGGTTCTTAAAAGGTGAAAGATTTCATCAATGAATTCCACCACAGCTCCAAACTAGATCCCTAGAGGCACCAGACAAGAATTTGATATAGCTGGTGCAAAATGTATTTTCAGAGCCAAGACTCTCATGCTGTTTTCTTGATACGATTGAAGTGAAATTGACCATGCTTGCAAAACTTCAGCACATGAGGGTTTTTAGGGTCATTACCACTAATTGCAACAAACTGGAGTGCTGCCCTTAAGCCATAGTCATCTCCTTTATCAAGGTCTACCCCCTCCTGGTCTGAAGTTGAAAGAAAAGAACAGAATCTAGCAAAATCTGACCTCTGTGTTGCCTGAGGAGGTAGCCCATCTATGACGTCACCATTCTCCAAAGGTGCAGCTCTCTCTACATTAGGGGTTTCAGCATCTAAATAAAAAACAAAGGATTAAAGAAAAACCTATAAAGTATTACAGTCTTAAAAGGTTTTAATCACTAATGATAATACAAGTGGTAACTGTGTGATATCAATCTTTTTATTTAAAAAGGATAAAACTTCTTTCTTTCAAACCAAGTACTATAGTAATGTCTAAATTACAACAGCACCATCTAATGCACACATACAACAGTACATTTAGTAAAAAATGACTTACCCACATCACTGTCTGATTCATCTGGAAATAAGGAAAGCATATCTTACTTTAGTTGTTTAACAAATAAAAACAATTTATTTTTTTCAGTATTACTTCACAAATCACTACAACAGAGATTTTAATACTATATTAAATGTGTTGAAGTAGTTCAGGTCAGTAGCTGCGTCAGCATGCGTAGTCTGCAAAGGGACAAGTAATAGGTTTATTCCCTGCTGAAAAGAGAAGAGAGAAAACACAATGTTTCGGCTGTGAAGCCTTCTTCAGGCGTGAAGAAGTTCTAAGTATTTAAGAAGTTAAGTATTCAATTTTAAGAAGTTTTAATTTAATAGTACATATTAAATGTGTACTATTCAGCTAAATATTTATATCCTACATACACTGATTACACCTACAATGAAGCATGCATATTACAGAGGAGTTCTGTAAATACTTGCTACTCTTTATATAATGACCATGACCATTCATGCTACTACCTTGAAAGTGTAAGGGCTTTAAAACGTAAACGTAAATGAATACATTTGATCATATTAGAACAAAAACATGTTTTTGGGTTCAAACTAGTGATGTTATGTTGTATCACTGAGCTCAGCAAACACTTTATGTAAACATTTGTGATGCTTTGCCAAACCTGTGCTGCAGCCTATCAGTTCTTGCCTATACTTCCGACTAAATTTTCCTTCATCTTGGAAAATATATGCTTAATTGGATTTAAATCTGGATATTGACTTGACCACTAAGACTTTCTACTTTTTTCCTGATAAACATCATTTTATTGGCTGTATGTTAAGGGTCACTGACTTGCTACATGGCGAAATATCATGCCGTAGTTATGAAAACATTTTCTTCTACCTGTACATTGGCAGACAATTTTCGTAAACTGCAGAATTCACTATTACTGACATGAATAAAGATAAGAGCCAGTACCAGAGGTCTTCATGAATGCCAAGACTATGAAATCATCTCTACCATACTTCAAAGTTACGGTGGAGTTCTTTGGAGCATCTGTGGTTCCCCCTCCCCCCACCCCATACACACTTTCCATCACTTTGGTAAAGGTTTAACTTGATCTTTATCATCTGTCCATAAAACTTTGTTCCCAAACTCTTCTGGCTCCTTTGTGCACTTCTAAACAAATTCTAACTATTCTTTTCTTGGTGCTGATGAGGTTACATCTTGCAGTACAACCTTTGAAATTCTGCTGTCTCAATCTACTGCAAACTTATACTAATAATTATAATGTGTCAATTAGCAGCTTTCCTGGATGATACATGCTGAATTGTTTTGCAGTGTTCAACCTCAAGCAGTCTACATTGGAGTCTAAATATTTAAATATAATGGCAGCCAAATGGCCACTTTTCACTTTAATTGCATTTTTCCTATCAAAGCCGGACATAACTGGGTAAACTGTTTCAGAACCTCTTTTAAATTGAAGCTGTGATTTAATACTAATAATAATAATTCCTAACTCTTACATTGCTCTTTTCTGGACATTTTACTCAAAGAACTTTATAGGTAGTGGCGACTACCTCCACCATCACCAATGTGCAGTCCCACCTGGATGATGCAACAGCACCAAAAGTGTACCAGTACGTTCATCACACATCAGGTATCAGTGGGGAGGAGAACAGAGTGATGAAGCCAATTCATAGATGGGGATTATTAGGAGGCTGGTAAATGACTGGTAAAGGCCAGGGAAGAAATTTGGTCAGGACACCAGGATTCACACACCTACTCTTCTTGGAAAAACACCCCAGGATTTGTAATGATCACAGAGAGTTATGACCTTGGTTTTATGTCTCATCCAAAGGATGGCTTTTTTTTTTTTTACAGTTTAGGACCCACACAGAAACAGTTTTGATGTCACCGTTTTGTTAAGTCGGATCAGAATTCTAGAAACAATTAATCCAGGTTTGCCAGGGAGGATAACTGCCAAAACTGAAGTTAAATATTTAACAAATGGGTGACCTGGGGTGGATTTAAAATGACCCACTGCAATTTGTGTGGCAGGCTGGCAAAAAAACAAGTATGGAGTTTCACCTTATTCCACAAGAGGGCACCAATGCTCTTCACAGTCAAGACAGGCTGACCTCCAGGAATCTCCACAGTACTTTTAAATATAAGACACATGGAATTCCTTCCACTCTTTTAGGTGTTGGACATTCTTAAGAGAGAGTATTTGAAGTGCAGCAGGGGGAAAGAGCTACACTATGTTTCATACTCAGTGGAAGGTTAGCAAGGAGGCATTGTTAAATGCTCCAAAAAACACCCTGACCATCAAAAGGGGAGTAATTAGCCAAAGAAAAATAGCTCCTGAAAAGCACATAGTATGAAAGTATAAAATACCTTTTGCTCCAATGTCTGCTACACTTTAAAATCCTGAGGTTACATCACAAGCAAAGATGCATCTCAATTTGGTTATAGAATAATGAACCAAACAAGACAAGAGGTTTTAGTTTAGGATGTGTGTAGAGGGGTGAGAGGATTCAACTGGGTTAAGTAAAGCATAAGATGCTTACCCTCTAGGCTAAAAGCACCGCTAGAAAGATGCATCCATCTAAGATAAAGCATCCACCCAGCTGAAGTAGAAGCAGGAGTACAGTGCTTACTCTCAGTGGAGTTGCTCTGCTATATGCAATTTGACTAGGTCCAGTTTAAAATTTGGATTCTCACTACTACTCAATTAGTAGTGAAGGCTTGGAAGCCTAATAAATCACACCATTAAGACACTAATAAATAAAACCTCAGCAAAAAGGTTGATTGTGTGTACCTAGCCTACCTACAAAAAAGAAACCTGAACATGAATACTAGTAAAATGGACTAATTTCAAAATGACCACACTGTTAATTCTATTAATTGGATAAAACAATGCAACCTCACACAGAACATTTCTAGATTATTCATTACATAACCAATGAGAATATATATTATGTATTTAATGAACATGATGAGATTTACAAAACCAAAAGGTATAAATGCAAGATGAGAAGGGATACCTTGTCCCCCAGTTTTGGGCATTCTCCTTTGTCCCTTGGCAGATGAAGGCCGAGGAATTCTTGCAGGACTCTCTGTCTGCAGAACATTTTTAAAAAAAGCTTTACTTAAAAAAATCTATTAGTTGGTGACAGAAATGGAGACTGAATACTAAAAAATAATTTAAAACCTACTCCAGAGTTTTGCCTGAGACACAGGTGTATAGCAGTATAAAAATGGGTAAAACCAACAGCATACTATTCAGTCTTTAATGTAAGCACACCGATACACTTTAGACCATATATTACACAACTACTTTACTCAATAATGCACTGAAATACCTCTATCTCAAGGTTAAGTGCAGGCTTCAGGAAAAGTGACAGACAGGAAAAAGTAATTATTTACCATTTAAAATGTATACCTTCAACTAGCAATTTTATTACATTCAAGATGTACCAGATGTCTTGTAATACATGAAAGAGCTTCAGTAGCGTCCCCATTCAAATTCCAAAACCAATAATTGATATTATAGCTGCACGTCTTTACAAAATAGTAAGTAAAAGAAATTTGGAATTTGCCATTGGCAGAAGGTGTTTTGATTTAATATGAGTGAAAGTTCAGGAAAGGTTTATAATAAAATAGTTCTCCTTTCCACAGATATATCACACAATCTCAGAACTTCTTTTTATACAGAATAAATTATCAATGATAGTCTTAAAACATTCTCAAAACATAGCACAAATACAAAAATCCTAAAGCAGGGGTGTACAAAATAATAATAAAGGATGCAAAAAACAAAACAATTTCAATTACATTACAAAACAAAAAATACCCTAAAGGAAAGCCACAAGCACACAATAACAAACAAAAGACTCATCACTCTAATAACTGCATGAAAGGAAAAATACCTTGAAATCAAGCACTTCTGTTGGCTGAATTAAGATTTTAGAAGCTTTACTCATAAATTGTATGATAAACCAAACCAATTATTGTGAACTACACTCTGGTAAGATTACATGACATTTTGCTCAAGTGTAAAGTTTTTCATGTTTTTAGAATAAAACAAAAAGAGACATACTTAAGAAATATTAAAAGTTTATAGGATAAGGACTCATCATAATAGACAAGTTCACTGCCCTTATAAGAATAAGTGGAATTATATTTGTTGAGCAATGTTGATTTTCATACTTCAATGCAGACCGACACTGTAAAGTTGAGCAATGAAGCAATGAAGGTGCATACCTCGGATTCAAACATTTGTGAAGGCTTCAAAGAAAGAAAATCATTATGACTATACCAAAACACTAATTAAGCAGCATTGATGACAAAGGAGTGCAAATGTAATAAAAAAATAATACCATAACTAATGTTTGATTTCTAAATTAAGGTAAGATAAGTTAACTTCATGTCCATTTATAATTGATGTTCAAATGTCTTTGTAAGATGTTATTGCAAAAAACTATCAGCATATTTCACAGTTTTATTAAAAACTTAAAATATATGTTGGACATAATTATAGCTCTGTAGATCACATATTGCTGTGTTAATATGAACCAAAAATAATAAACAAGATACTTAAAAAAATATGTACATGTTTACCTAGCTGCTGGATATGTTCTTTCTTATTATTCAAGGATCACTAAGAGTAATGTTAAGTCCTAAAAAATAAGGCACATTGGTATTATACTATTAAGTGCACTGAAAGCTCCCATAAAGAGTGCAAAATATATACAGTATATCAGTAAATGTCACCTGCAGTTTTTAGCTACTCAAAGAAAACACATTTATCTTAAAAACACCCCAGAAGAGAAAAATAGACTGTACCAAACAGTTTCTAAAAGCTACTTGATAAGTGCTTTTCACATTTGAATTCCACTTTACAACAATCAAACATTTTAATAATAGTTCTTCGTGTATTTGAAAACTGCAGGTGTTGAAGATACATGTGTTTTCATACAGTGTACATCACAGAAATATCACATTTCCTTAGTAGTAATAATATTGGAGTCAGTCAAAGCATTTTGCCCTGACCAAAAAAAGTGTGCAAGATTTTAGCAACAACTTCATAAGATCATCGATTTTCTAATCTTGGTCATGGAGGGCCAGTGAAGGTTTTAATTCCAAGTGGACCACTTTAATATTGTTACAGACTATGGTAGGTGATTATGTATAATTATGTGATTATGTACACAGTTAAGTTCTGTGTAAATGATTCAGAGTGTCACAAGTATAAGATGAAAGACAGAGAAGAAGACAGACCAAGGGAGAGGAGACAACAGGAAGACAGAAGAAAGTGAGTGCCATGAAATGGAGGACACATCACATTGCCATTATTTGAGCCTTGTTAAGAGAACATGCTATTCTGATTTTCTGAGTGAAACATTCCTCTGTTAAAAAACTGCCTGTCCTGATTAGTGCATTTTTAAAATAAAGAGAAGTTCCTACTCATTTTGCGGCATCCAGGTTTACTGACATTTATCTGCAATGTGTATGCTATTTAATTTAGAAGGCAGCTTTATCTGATTCTGGCCTCTATAGTTGTTATGAGTATGAATACTTGGTAACAATGGGGTTTTTCTGGGTGGTTAGGATGTCAGGCTTCTCGAACATCTTGTCTCTAAACTTGTACATCGTATGTTTATGTTGTGTGTAGTGTAGTGTGTGCATTGTCCCTGTTCATAAATATTTGTTTAACCCACTATGCCTGAATTATTACTTTTATTTAGCACAAAGCTGTGCCAGAGAACAAATAACTCATGTGCCTCTAATTATACCAACTGCTTGGGTATATTCTTGGAAAAATCATTTACAAGCTGGGGCTTATGGTTATTTATTTTACTTATTGACTAATCCGCTCAGTCAACTTAGAATATTTAGCTCTGATGTTTATTTATTTTTGCAACCCCTATTGTAACAATATCTTTTCCAAGCACCTCTTTTGGTGCTGCTGCTTTAAAGATACATTGAAAACCTACAGTGGCCCTCCAGGACCATGGACAGGACAGTGCTGGCATAGGTCAAAGAGGCATCTGATGAGCAACAAAACCAAATCATAAGCTATGGATATTTTTAGCTATTCTCTCCTAATACACAAATGTAAGTCATATATCTAAAGGGCATTCTTAGCACTAATCAGAAATGCAAAGGGAAAATATTTTCAGCAACAAAAAAGGGAAATTCCTAAAGGGAATCTAAATATTCTAATACAATAAAGGCGAAAAAAAGACAAACAAGCAGGACAATGTACAGTATATACCTCATCAACATCTTCCAGCTAGAGGGATGAAGAAAAATGTAAGACTTAGCACAAGGTGAAAAGTACAATACTAAGTCAAACAATTGTAAAGTGATTTTAAAGTTCTTATTGTTAACAAGATAGACTTGACACTCTGATATACACAACAAACTATATTTGCTATACAGTATAAACAATCACACACTCAAAACAAAAAAAAA